TTCTGAATTGGCTGTATGGACCATGGTCTGTGCTACAAATGAACTCAATTTAAAATATATTGGGATAGATAATAAATAGTTATGGCTTACGAACGACGCGGGTTTTAATATATTTTTTTTTTGTAGGAACTAAGTAGAATGAAAAAATACATTAATAATAACAATGTATAAAAAAAGCAATTTCATAAATACACGGTGTCCAAACGAGTATAAAATTAAAAATTGGAATTTTATACAATTTAAAAAATAAACAGAATAGAATAAAATGGAGTTTTTTATATTTTCAATTTCGTTTCGTTTTGATATCTTATTTTGAATACAGAAAGTTTATTTCTTTAGAAAGTTTAGGTACAAGACTTACACATTTTGTCGTGTAGGTACCTACTTACTTTATTGTAATTACGGTTACCTACAAAAAACGACGTCTTTAGATGGCTCTCTGAATAAATTTAATAATAGGTTAAAAAAATATTTACGCAGTTCTGTAATAATGATTTTTAACGCACCCACGACATAGGAGATAATCCTAGTGTGGGGCAACATTTTTGAAGCTAATAAAAATCCTTCCGAGCTAATGAATCGCCCATCGGTAAGAGATTAAGACCGCCCGTAAAACTGTATTAACTAGTGTCAGTTTGTTTGTATTTCTTTGCTTAAAACCGTTGCCGGCGTTTTAAAAAGAGGTTTGAAACTCACATTGGTTCTTAAATACAGAAAGCGGCATCTCGTTCCATAGTTTTTATATGTTTGATGTCTCATTTAAATCTGCCGAAGTTAACATCGTGGTTAACATCATAAAGAAAAATGGCGATCCGTCTCCTCATATAGTCCATGTCACGAAAAAAGTTATTCAAGGTGTGTGTTACACAATCAATCTGTTGCTTACTACGAAAATACCAGATTAAGTGCCAATAATGCTTGCTCCGACCTTTGCCCTCTGTCCTGTAGGGTCAGATCTCTTTGACTTGTCGCCATCTTCCCATATACAGCGGGTTACAAAAAAAACAAAGAACTATTTTTCCGATGGATTCACATGCAAAGTTATTTAAGTTGTTTTTTTATTGTACAATTTTCTAGTTGGCAAGTTTCTGTAAAAATTTTAACGACCATAACTATATTACTATCCATAAAATCATATACAAACCCATTTCTACTAATCCGCTACTCCGCTCGTTTTGAACTAGTCAAATTAAATACTTTTATTGAAATGTCACAAACGATAATTCTCTATGCATTTTGTATGATATCGCAACATAATTTTGATATTATGATAAATGTTTTCACTTCAAATAACATAAGTACTTATTTCTGAAAATTAGATAGAAAAAAAATAAAGTTAAGTAGGTACATGAACGTGAATCGTCAAATTATTAATGAAAGTTCGATTACCTACATTATACTAATTAATCGTACAGAGAAGTCAAAATAATTTAACATAGGTAAATGTATTTTAGACCACTAAAGTCTAGTAGGTAAAGTAAATTCCTATGGAGTGCAGAGAACCTTCTCCTCATAATTATCTGCCAATGAATATCTACCCACTGCTAAGCAAATATGTCTTCTCACACAAAGAAGGTATCTAGGCATTATTTAAAACCACGCTTTCTCAAGGACCGTCAGTCATTTTAAACTCATTATTACAATTTTTAACCACCGACGCAAAAAGAGGGGTGTTATAAGTTTGACGTGTGTGTCAATTTTGCTTTTTGATTTTCAATTTTGATTTTTTTGTATTAAAGGCGACTCACGTGCGAGTGTCTGCAAAAATGTATACTCGAGTGGGGTCTCAAATGAAAGTTGAAATGTTGATGATTTAATCGAGAGAAAATGATATAAAATATCTATAAAAAGAATAGGTAAAATAAAAAATAAATTAGACCCCGATAAAAAAGAAATATGTAGTAGATATGTAATAAAATGTTTGGATCGGTCCCCCAACGCCACGTTTTCTTTTAATTATTACTTTAAAGGAATAGTAGATTTTTTGTCGGGGGTTTTTTAAATTATTAATTTATGTTAGATACTAGCTTTTGCCCGCGACTTCGTTCGCGTGGAATAGTGACTTCCTATAGATTTTTGGTATAAAAACTATCCTATGTCCTTTCTGGAGTTCCAAACCATGTCTGTACCAAATATCACAGAAATCGGTTTAGTAGTTTAGGTGTGAAGAAAAGACAGACAGAGTTACTTTCGCATTTATAATATTAGTTTAGATTCCAGGTTTTCCAATTATGTTTTTCACCATATGTCAGTGGTGTTTGAATAAAATAAAATTGCCTACATAAAAGAACAAAGCAGATAAATATAACCATATTGAAAGAACACGCCTTATAAGCATAAATCGTTATTGTAAATAGTGATTTGTTAAATTCTATTGTGTGATAGGAGCGAGCAAGATGGCGGATGGACCAGCGACAAGCGATCAATTCATCACACAACGACCGCCACTTTGACGATGGCTTAGGCTAAAGTAATCATTTCACTAAGCCTTTGTTGAGTATTTAGTTGTAGGTATTTTTAGATATTTTGTTGAAAACTAAGCATTGAGTTGTAGGTGGCCTGCTAATATTGGATTTTATAAGTAGGTTGGATATTTTTTTCTTATTCTATTGATGAATCCACCATGGCTTTTGCTGCTCACAATGAAGGAGGAAGACCACGTGAGGGAGCTATCATGCTCCTCACGCCCCAGCCGCCGAAGTAGATGACACTACGGGCGTTGGGGATCGAGAGACGATCTCCGGCCACAAAGTAAGGGTAGCTCGCCGCCCGACCAAAACCAGATCATACCGTACGGCGCGCGAGGTAGCGTTCCGTGCGCACTACTACGCCCTGCTTCGGCACGAATCGGTCTGCTCCACCGGACTGATACCACGGCCTCACAGAAAACCGGCGTGAAGCAACCACAGCGTTGTGCGTCGCCGTGTGAGTGAGGTTACCGGAGGCCCCTTGCCCTTATCCAATCCATAAATCTCCCAATCCTTAATCCCCAAATGGTCGGCACCGCACTCGTAGCTCTATAGCGGGTGTCCATGGGCGACGCTGATTGCTTACCATCAGGTAATGTATCTGCTCGTTTGCCGACCTATCACATAAAAAATGTTATCACATAAAAGCACGTTTAGAGGTCGACGCTCCCGCACGTGTTAGTTCCACCGGTGTCGACCTAGACACATGTAGTTGTAATAGCTGACGATGCAGTTGCATTCGCCAATACCAAAACTGCTGACGGACCTTTTTGGATTCCGCACCGTATGTTTACTTATACACTGTTAACTTTGGTAAACAATACTGCCTGTAGAACATATGTATTATGTAGGATGTTGGTACCATGGCACACAAGTTCCCATCACTCATCATCAGCCTATAAGTTCCCACTGCTGAGCAAAGGCCTCTTCTCACACGGAGAAGGTTTGAGCATTAATGACCACACTTGCTCAAGGCAGATTGGCGATTGCAAACTTATAATTAGAAATTAGAGTCCAGGTTACCTCATGATGTTTTCCTTCACTGTATGTCAATGTTATCTTAATAATTATATAAAGTAAATATAACTCGGAAAAAGTCACATTGGTACTTGCCAGGTTTCGAACCCTCACCCTCATGCTTGAGAACACACACACACACACACACACACACAGAGACACACACACACACACACACACACACACACACACACACACACACACACACACACACACACACACACACACACACACACACACACACACACACACACACACAGACACACACACACACACACACACACGCACGCACGCACGCGCACACACACACACACACACACACACACACACACACACACACACACACACACACACACACACACACACACACGCACACACACACACGCACACGCAAGCACGCACGCACGTTAAATAGGTACTTTAAACCTGCCGGGGTAGCGAAGCAACATTAAATTACGTTGTGTTTCGCCGTGTGGGTGAGGTTACTGGTGGCTCAATCCTCAAAAATCAACACCTTTATCCGTAGGTAATTAGCCGGCAAGGCACTCGTAACTCCTTTGGTGTTGCGGATGTCCAAGGGCGGCGCTGATTGCTTACCATCAGGTAATCCGTTTGCTCATCGGCAAACGAACAGATATAAAACGACCATAAACAAAACATAATCCAAAAAAAATTTTTTCGTTCCATCCTACCGTGCAGTCAAAATTACAATATACCTATGCTTGTGTTCAACTTCGCTGTGTGTGTGTTAGTTTACTTGAGGCCCAATCCTCCGGCTCTGGGTGTCTGATAATGCCAACCTGTCACCCGTCTGAAGTGGTCCTTTCAATACAATACCGCACGGTTCTCCCACATTATTTTAAATTTTGGACTAAAGAGATCTGATTTGGTATTTCTTCTCAGGTCTTTTCAGTACTCAGTCCTTAATTAGGCAACGAATAAAAGAGCAGTGTAATAACTTATTAAAAAAATACCTTATGGTTTTACTTATAAAGGAAGGTACTTCGGTCCTCATATCCAATGAAACAAAAATTTTTCGCCAGCAGTTGTTTGTTGATGTCTGTTTATCATTAGGTATTATAGGTACGTCAGAATATTCGAATATTCAAATTACCTAGTTTTAAATTATCAGTATTGAAAAAACGCTACTATCTAAAAAAATATTGAAAGAAATCTCAGAGAATATAGTATCTGATATTTTTAGATGCTTTCAAGTCTTTCATTCATGTATTGATCGTATCGGAGCTTTCAGGTTTTGTTGATAACATTTGCGTTGTACACACCCCGCCATCTATCGATTGATAAAAGTCAACGCTAGTAGTGGTAAGTCAGAAACTTGCAGTTAAAATAAGTTATGTAAGTGGAAAAATATAAAATAATATGAAAAAATAGTTTTTTGTATAGATTTCTTTGTTTTGTAAAGTCGGTTCACTTTGGAGATGTTGAATATATTTGTTTGGTATGGCAATTATTTATTACGAAATTCTTATTGTCATCTGGCAAGCTTTTTACAAAATGTCCGACGGCAATAATCAAAAGTCAGATTCTGAACCTAGCAGTAAAAAAATTAAAATTGATCATGAAAGTGGGAATAATGTGAGTGAAAATCAGTTGCAATTAAAAGACTTTGTATTGGAGAAGATTTTAAATAACAACACTAATAGGAAAACTGTTTGTGTGCAAGGAAAATTCAAAGACAAAAGTGGCGTGGCTTTAGTTATTTTAGAGAAAAATGCTTTCAAGGAAGAAGATTTGAGCAATGAAGGTTACTTTTCCGTAGATACAGAGTTGAAAACGTTCTTCGAGAACGATATCTACGGGAATTACGAGTGTTTCCCCCGGTCTTCAATTAATGGTGAGTGACATTCTCAGAACTCAAGGTTCTTATTGTTTTCTTCGAGTATTAGTCATCAGATCAATTTAAGAGTATTTTCGGTCGAGTTTCGTGACTCTCACATTTGATTCATTCGTCGTAACATGCTAGAAACGGAATGTGTACAATTGTATCAAAGAATAGGTGTTAACAAAACTCCTTACGTCACGAAGTTTGCACCATATGGTAGCAATTTTTTTTTTCATAGTTAATAAAGCCTTCTTTGAGTTAATTGCTTGTGACGATTCACGTCTAACGGGCAGTCAGGTCAGATAAGGTACGATAACTAATAATTACTTTTTTATCTTATTTTTCTTAAGAAAAAATGTGGTTTCACATTTGTGTGAAGTGATTTTTAATGAAAGGTAAGGTTCAGTATTTTTTATTAATAATCAGTGACTCCTATTGGATAAAACCCTTCCTCCTTTCACTTGAGTTGAAGCTAAAAAGTATAATAATATATTAATTACAGTGGAAAGAAAATAGTATACATATATTTCTTATCTTTTTATACCTAGCTACATTTGCCAGCTGTTTTTCTTTTTTATAAAAAGTTAAAGGGCAGATAACTTGTTTATGTGATATTGGTTTTGGTCTGTTTTGTGTAGGTATTTTTATAAAGATTTTCTTCCAGCTTTTAACTTCTATTAAAAAACTTACAAATTTATTAAAAAATAATTAGCATGTTATACTTACCAAAATGTCCAAAAAATTATTGTTATCTTATAATTTGAGAAAAAATATATCTTTCTATTATTATAAATAGTTTTGGTGAAATATTGTGCCCAAAATATTGGATCACCTTTTGTGATTATAATTTGAAACCATTATTTAAACATTAAAAATATCTCATATTTACCTATTGTGATAACGGGGATGAGATAAACCAAAGTACTTAGCAACAATCAGCTATTCTCTGATTCAAATAATGTAAGTAAAAGCCCACTGTCACTGCTGGGTTTAGATCTACCAATTTATACCATGCTTCTTGGTTTTATCCTCTACTGGTTACTCCCACACAGTTTCACCTACTGTTACCTGCCTATTGGTCATAGCATGATGTTTTATATAGTATATAGCCTTCATCAATAAATGGACTATCATCTGACACAGAATGAACTGTTAAATTTAGAATCAGTAGTTCCAGAGATTAGCTGGTCCAAACAAGCTCTTTACCTAACACTAGCTACTCTCACGCGGTTTTACTCGCTGCTGGGCCCCATTTGATCGTAGCGTAATGTTTTATAGCCTATAGTACTCAGAAACATTGTAGCTATCTATCAGTGAAATAATTTTGGCAATCCGACCAGCGGTTCCATAGATTACCCCTTACATACAAACTTATAAACTTCAAATTTTACTTCTTTATAATATTATTATAGATAGATGTCTTATAGATCTTACATTGTGGAATATACTACTTAAATGCATCTTTCCTTTACGTTTCAGGTGTAAAAACATCAATAATATACCCCGCTACAGAGAAGCATATTGCCAAGTTTAGTCAACAAGAGCTCCACATTGTTCTGGAAACTCCAGAGTTGTACCAGAAGCTCACATTACCACATTTGGAGAAGGAGCAGTTCAATTTACAGGTATGTTTATTTATTTATTTTTTATAATAAGGTAGGCTCACAGCTTATGTATACAAAGTTGTTAAAAGTATTGGTTATAGGCAGTAGGTCTTATACATTAACCAGTTACTATTCAGATATTGAGTGGTTTCAAATAATTTGAATAAGATTTCTTTCAACACTTTTATTATAATAGAAAAACAACAGCTAATACAAATAAAAAATGGAGGAACAACAACACCTATAAATTTACCTCTTTTCAATAGTTACGAGCTAACCAACATTCTTAAAATTATGCGTTTGTACGGACAAAATATGTGTATTTTAATATAATGTATGTTCACTGACGAATAGACTGATCCATTATTATTCCATTTTGGTGTTACAAAAGTCTCTGTTTATTGTTTAGTTGAAATTTTGACTTTGATTTTAACAAAAATTCATTTCTTCTGGTTTCAACTTACTGAAGAAGTGATGACAGACAGAAGAAAATGTCTTTTGACTGTGAGAGCTTAGGCTGAGAGATAGCATGAATAGCCAGTTCATTAATATTTTTTTTCTCTCTGAAGAAGAAGTGAAGTTTCGGTTAGTTTTTAGGTAGTTTTTATAACATCCATCCTTACTTACAAATGTTTGCTTTTGTTATATTAATAGGAAGGCCTATTTTTCTTGTTATAAACCTGTTCAAGTCTTTAAATCATTCCATCTGTAAATAATAGGTTAAAACTCATTTATCTTTATTAGTCTATGTTTGTGTTTAAGTATATGAGTAGAATAAACAAAGTAATCTAACAATAATTGTTTGAATCCATTGTACTATGGTTTGATTTATAAAACATAAAAACAACTAGATGGTTCAGTATTCTAACAATAGGTGGGCTTGTGATATATTTTCGATAAATTTTATCAGCCTTATTACAATAAAAAAGGTTTTCTTTGGTTGATGTCTAGGTTTAAGTTTTTGTATTTCGAATTGAAGGTAAAAATAATAAGATTCAATATTTAATACCTGACTTAATGGTTTAAACTTAGACTATAGAAAAACCTTATTTTGTAATAAGGGGGTTTAGATATATTTAAATTAAGCTGTGGCCATTTTGTTGTATATTAAGAAGTTTACCACACTATTTGTGAAAATTGTTATCAAATTTAGCCAGTAATCATTTCTGTTATTTTCTTGTGATAAAGCTACATTTTCTTAACACTATAGATGTAAGTACTTAAAATCGTTAGTTGAAGTTTTTATAGTGAAGTCACAATATCCTAAGTATTAAAACTGTGTTTGTAGAAGGATTTTAATTGGTAAACACTAAGAAAATTCTAGTTTGAAGCAACATTGTTGTATTTTGTTATCTATCAGTAAGATAATGTTCTCCACGTGTCTTGTTTTAGCATCATTAAAATAGTGTGTTTTAAAACGATAATATATTAATTATCTACACATAAACATTTATCATTGTTTAGTCTTGTGGAGTTTGCGGGGTACAAACTCTTTGAAGGAGGGAAAAGCGGTTGAAGTCTACCAATTTTTTTTTTATCTGAAACTGTCGTATTGTTTAACTATTTTATTTCTTGTATTGCTAAACCAAATTATTATGGTCTATTAGTTTAGATAATTAACTAAATGTAAACAATCTAGGCCTGCCTTTACATCTAAAAGATGTCTAAAAATCAGCAATTTACCTCAATCGATGTTTGCTAATAAATTTAAATAATCTTTATTCCTCTGATAAAAATTATCTGACTATTTAAAAATCAGTCTAAAGTCAAAAACAATTAATTTAATCTATCAATTAATTTTCTTGTCTCTTTCTTACAGTGGGTTTACAACATTCTAGAAGGGAAGAGTGAGCAGGACAGAATAGTCTACGACAATAAGTGTGAAAAGGACGGATTTGTGCTAGTTCCTGACCTCAAGTGGGACGGACTTACAAAAGAGTCCTTGTACCTGCTAGCTATCGTTAGAAGGCGAGGAATCAAGTCTTTGAGGGATCTGGATGATAGTCATCTGCCATTGTTGAAGAGGGTTCGCGACGAGGGAAAGGTAATAATAATATTACATTAGATTTTATAACAATAGCACACGTCTATAAAGGTGAAAATCGATTGATGAAAAATTATTTTGATAGGGGTACTAGGTATATTCCAAAGTGGTTTTTGCATATATTTTGTTGTCTTGTGTGAACAGACACATGAGATTTACCTTAGCTTAATTTATCGTTTTGTTAAAATATTTTCACCTTAAATTATAAACAGACATAATAATACTAATAACTAAATGACTCAAATTATAAATGGCTTGGTTTAGCGTAAAAATCACAGGAAAATACTAAAGTTGTTAGGCATACAAATAACCAAGTCTCTTTCCCTATTCCAGAAAAAAATATTCGAGAAATACAACGTACCGGCGTCACAGCTGCGAGTCTACCTCCATTACCAGCCTTCGTTCTACCACCTGCATATACACTTCACGTACTTACGCCACGAGGCGCCCGGCATCTATGCAGAGAAGTCACATCTACTCGACACTGTCATTGACAATATCGAAATGAAACCAGATTACTACCAAAAAGCAACCCTACCTTTCACCATCCGTGAAATGGACAACATTTTCAACATCTACGAAACAAATGGACATGTCCAGAGAATCAAGCAAGAAAGTGAATTAATTGATAAGTAATTTTTATATATTTTTTGTAAGTACAATTTTTGTAGAAAGAAAGAAAAAATGTTGATTGAAAACGTTTTCATCGAGCTACGCTCTCGATTGAGGAGCTGCAATGTATTCATTACCACCGGAGTGGACTTCACCAAGAATTGTAGTCTGAAAATTAGCATACAGACTAATTGTATTGTCTTGAATTATTATAAAGATAAGGATGATAAACCTAAAAGAAGGGACAGCCTTTCTTCCATTGAAAGTCTCTCCGATTGGTGCTCGGACGAAGAAGGTGAAGTAAGCACTGTGATCCCAGTCCGGCAGTTCTGCAAGATTATACCAAATTCTATGTCATGTCTCAAAATAGATAAGAGTACAATATCATTCAGATTACTGACTGAACCCAAGAATGGTGGCAATTTTTACAAAGAATTGCTATCCACAAATAATATGGAAAATTCTACCAAAAGAAGCATTTTAAAATTAAACGTGAAAGCTGGTGAAGCACTGCAGTTAACCTGCGCAAATTGTTGCAATGTAGTTTCTGTTGATAATGTAAAGTTTGACCGGATTTTGGAGTTACCAACAGCTAACCTGGACATGTCGGAATGGTTTTGCCATGGGAACGGACACGGACATAGCCATGGTCACAGCCACGGGGAGCCCACACAGACATCGGACACTATAATTAAGCCAAACAAAAGTGATTTTCTATATAGACTGACTTTCTTCGTTGTGAACAATACCATTTTATCGGATAAGACTAACAAGTTTAACGCTACAAGACCAGTTTACCATTGCAATAGATGTCTGGCCTGGCTGGGACTCAAGGATAAAGATACTGTGAAACTATTCAATTCAGAAATTAGGATAAGTCATAATGATACCGAATCAGTGATATTCGCACACAAAAATGAAGAGGATATACATACGGATGATTTTATTTATACAATAGAAAGTATGACTAGAGAATTTAATCTTGGATTCCAATATACAGTGATGTGTAAATTAGTTCTTGAATGTACTGTATCAGCTGTGAAGAAACAGTATTTGTTAATATGGGTAATGGATAAAGAATTGCAAGTGCTCCGAAACAATATGCAAACAATTTTATTAGAAGACCGAATTGAGTTGCATTCCACTACGGTCACAAAAATACTATTCAAAGTCGAATTTTGTATGAATGAGGAAGTGGAATCCTGGGTCTCGGACCCAGGAGTTGTCACCACTGAGATATCAAAAGGCATGTTCAACAATGGACTCGCCCATTTGGAGAAAATGTCCCAAAAAGTACCAGAATGCTTCCGTAATACCAACGGTTACTGTGTAAGCTATCTTAAAGTTTGAATAAATTAATTCGCAATTGTATTTTGCTGGTTTTATTTATTTCAGGACCCTACTTGAAATTAAATTTCGAAAATTGTATTTTTTTTTTTTGGATAAATCACCATATTACTTCTCTAATCCTGTGCGGGACGAGAGTGAGTGTCAGACTCTTATTGACTAAAAACACCCTGTTCCTTCTGCTCCAAGCCGCAGCAGTAGTACCTACATTGCGTGTTTCCCCATCAGTGGTGATCTATTGGTTCTTTGAGGTTTGGTTCTGGTAGGGCGGCAAGTTACCCTTGTCAGTCCTAGGCCACCTGGTTTCTCCACACGAGTAGTTCTGCACTAAATCTCGATAGAAAATATTCCGGAAGCAAAATTTATCACATGTGCTCCCTTTTTAAATGCACTTCTAAGGTTTTGAAGTCCGGTTTTCGGATGATATAGAACCTACGACCCAGCAAATGTATGAAGAAATTTCTAGGGCTTCACAGACCACTCAAAAAGCCCACTTCAACGTTGTCATGGGAAACTTCAACGCTAAATGGGGCGCAAATATCTTTCACATTTGAGGTTTACAGTCAGTGCCGCAACTAGGGTGGTGCCAACAGTACCCAGGCACAGGACACATATCTTTGAAATGACCAGACTATAGTACCTATCTAGTTTTACCTCACGCATGGTAGCTAGTTCGTACTAGGTTTTTTATTTTGATATCTGTGATACACTCTAAAGAGATCTCGACAAAGAATGTTTTGAGAAATATTAGCACAGCTGGTGTAAAATGCTTCACCCGTACTATCATCTGCATGAAAGTGAATGCCACTGATTTAGAACATATCATTGATATGGAGGAGGAATAGGATGAGCGATAGTACGCAGCCGTGAGCGACACCAGCTTTCACAGGCAACCAGTTAGAACATTCATCGTCTACTGCGACCTGTAGGTATGCTTCAGTCTGCAAGGAAGCTGGATATCCATTTACATTTCTCGGGCAATCTATAGAAAGATAGCTACGAAATGACTGACTTCTGAGTTTGTTTCGGCATTTCTTCTCAGAGTAGTCAGATAGGAAATGCCGGCTTCATCTAGTTTTTGACATATACTTAAATTGACGTGTAAAAGTGCCGTTTCATGGCCTATTTACAAAAATAAATTCATTGTTTCATTGAAATAAGCGATCTATGCCAAACCCGATCGTAGGCCCTCGCTACGACTACCCCCTTGGACTCGACCGCTTGTGCCCACTGTTGAGTCAGTACTATCAGATTACCAGCGAACCGATCCTTACGGAAACCGTACTGCCTACACTTCACACGTACGTAAGGAGCTGGTAGTTAATGATCGACTCCATCATTTTCGATAGCATCGAAAGCTATGGCTATCGATCACCTTTTTTAAAGATCGAGTGGACTTAAGCTGTCTTCTATGACAGACTAAAATTCATGGACAGGGACTACCTACCCTTGAAGAGTATGAGAGCAGAAAAAGGCGTGTTAAGACTTGGTTGACTTGGTGCCAAATTAGGAGCGCACATTTTAGCCCAATGGGTGGTACTCCGTCAGGTCCATTTGACTTTTGGATTTCAAGCGACATGAAGCGCCTCATGCGAACAGTATTTTTCACATCACTTTTTCAGGGGCGCAGTTTTGAAAGCTCGCACCAGGTGCATTAAAGGCTACTTACGGCACTTAGGTATTTGCAGTCGCTATTGCAAGCGTGGCTGAAACAGAAAAAATAACACCAAACAGCCTGTTTGATTCTTCAGCTCGCATCTGATTCGGATGAAGTAAGAAAAAACGAAAGTCATTTCCAATTAACGTGTTTTTCTGGAGCCGAGAGGGCGGTTCGTAAAACGATACAGCTTGGCTGGACAGCATAGGAAAAAAATTGGTCGGGTATTATCGTCAAAAATTCCACAAAGCCTGAAAAGACAAAAGTTTTCGATGAGTGTGTCCTGGACACGGACAGTGCGACTCATTCACCAATTTAAAGTCACGCAGCGGCATATGGCAATGGCTATGTTGCTGCTCAAGGATTGTATTCGAAACTAGCTACTCTCTCACGGTTTCACCCGCTGCTCGGCTCCATTTTATCGTAGCGTGATGTTTTATAGCCTGTAGCACTCAGGAACATTATACGTACCTATCAGTGAAAGAATTTTGGCAATCCGGCCAGCGGTCCTAAAGTTTACCCCCTTCATGCAAACTTACAGACTTACAAATTTTACCTCTTTATAATATTAGTATACTTAGTAATATAGATGAGGTGATCCGACAGAGCAAACCGATGGCCATGGTAGTAGATAGACAGAAGACTTCTTCTGGAGGTCACGTCAAAGCAAATGTAGGTACCTAGTGTAGAACGCCTTCCAGCTAGGTGAACTGATGATATACGCAGGGTGACTGGCAGTGGTTGGACTAGAAGAGCTGAACATCAAGCTCACTTGCGTGTCATTGGAGAGGTCTTTTTAAGAAGCTGCCATAATTAAACTGTCTCATGTACCTACTCACCATTTTTAAGCGTTCATTAGAGAATACGCTTTGTTTTTTAGATAGGTAGGTTTTTATGACATAAAAAGCATTATTTCATTTTATATAGATATTTTTATAAATCCAAGTGTGAGACTTGGACTTTCTTCAGTTTCTTGAACATGCTTACGAACATAGTTTCACATACCTACCTACCTATCACTCTCAGACCCGGATAACACAGGATCACGCAGATTTGTTCCGCTTGGGAATCGAACCCACGACAAGTTACAAGGTAGCCGGTTGCCCGATGTGTAGTTTCGCAACTCTTAAATGTCATTAGTGAATTTGGCCAACGACTACAATTAGGTAAGCCCAGAATAAGCATATAGGCCCAGAATAAGAATAGCCAATAAGCATATAACCAACGAATTAAGGTAGTTATTTGAATCACTATTTACACGTCTTAGATGACCTAGTTATTTTACCGTTTTTCTCAGAACCTAGCTACATTGGTTTTTCGCCCCCGTCACCCTGTACCGTATACTTACAAAATTTCATGGAAATCGTTCGAGGCGTTTCCAAGATCCTGTACCTACTAAGCTATCCACCCGACAGTTGAGGTGAACTTCAAAATGATTTTGTCGGATGTGGCCGTTCTATTCTTGTTTTGTATTAATAATTTAGAACTTTAGAGGTTTTTTTTGTGAGGGGAAAATAATCAAATGATTCTCCCGCCCAGGGCCGGGCAGGAGGGAGTGTCAGACTCTTACTGACTAAAAACCCCCCTGTTCCTTCTCATGCTCTGTGCCGAGGTCGCGGTGCCTCATTGCGCTTACCCCGCAACCCCGGCTGAACATCAGCCTTTTAGGGCCCCGTCTGTGGTGGTCTAATGGCTCTTTGAGGCGCGCGCCGTACGCTCGGGCCTGGTTCTGGTCGGGCGGCGAGCTGCCCTTACTCGCCGACCGCAGGCCCGTGCAGAACTTTAGAGGTAGACTTTAGAAATATCGGACTTTTTACATGTATGTAAAACCCCAGAGGTTACGAAGTTCGGAATTTGTAATTTTAGATAAAAACGCTGCCCAACTAGGGCTTTCTTCTGTGTCGTGGATGAGTTAACAGATTTTTTTGGTAAGTTGAGAAAATAGCTTTACACTCTAGGACTTTCTGTTGTTTTTTTGCAGTTAGGAAAAATATATTAGAACAGATTGTTATTATAATAG